TCTGATTTTCCTTTAACTTAAAAACCAGAGTTTCTGTTGCATTTTACAAAACTGTTTTTTAAAGTAGTCTGAGTTTCTTTTAATTTTTTAAAAGTGATTTTAGCAATAAATATGCAGCTTTTCTGAAGCATTTTGCTTATTTTTTCCCTGTTTCTTTCTTTAAATTTGATAAAGTATATTTTCCCTTTCCTAAATGTTGAGAAGAAAATGTGTAGCAAAGTTGTTTTTTTCCAAACTCTTAGACCAATAAAAAAAAAGAAGACATGTCAGAATTACCCAGAATGAAAATTAGGAGTTAATTAGAAAAGTTTGCAGTATTTTAAGTTTAATGTTATAATCTCAGATTAAACCAGTAACAGAAATGATCGCAGGAGTTCAAAATCTATTAATTACACTGTAAACCTATAAATCCTACTAATTCAAACATCATTAGACTGATAGTATGCTAACTTGCTTACAGTATTCCTAGTGTTAAAAAGTAAAAAATAATTGAGAATTTATGGGGGTATATTATTGATTACAGGGACCAGATTTGAAGTGAATAAAGAAATTAATAATAAGTGTAATACTGTAATACTGACATTCTGAGATGACATTTGCTGGTTTATCAAACAACTTTTGGGATAATTTTCTCTCAGAAGAATAAATATTCCTTCATTTTCCTCATTTTTATAAAAGAGAGCAGCAATGCTTTTTAAGAGATGGAGAGGAATATAAATTGACAGGAGCGGTGCATATTATACCCAATACTGAATCCTTTTTCCTCTTTTTATCCCTTTGTGTGTCTGTAGAAATTGTAGTGGACCTTGTTACATTCTTCTCCTGCCCATAGTTTAGTCTCATTAGGCTCCCTATGAATGTGCAAATTAACTGCCTCACCTTGTCGCTCCTAATGGCTCGATTAAAGCCAAAATATAAAATAAAAAGCCTTCATTTCATTATTTGAAAAGACGATTGTTCCCGTGTTTAGGAATCCAATCTCATTTGCTGACCAACAAGATGGCGGCGCGTGTAGACGCAGCGGCTCGGAGCTCCCGTGTTTTCGTTTTTGTTCGCTTGTTTTTATTGATGTCTTCGCTCAACACACTATTGGAAGCCTTGACAACTTATAGCAGATCAGAACTGTGGAACATAGGAGCACAGTTTGGACTTCACACACCCACCAAGCTGGACTTTATTCCTCCAGAGCTGCTTCGAACACCAGGGACTATGTTCATTCCACCCTTGCTGCGAAGGCGACGGAGGGGGCCGAGCAAACAAAAGAGGGGTAAGAGAGCCGGCGTGCGTGCTAGGCTACAAGCTAACCCTCACAGACCGGCCCTCCCCAGCCTCTTCCTCGCCAACGCCAGGTCCCTCGTCAACAAAATCGACGAGGTGCGACTCCGAATTATCTCTCGCCGGATGGACAGCTGTGTGACTGTTGTCACAGAGACTGGCTGGATGAAAACATCCCAGACTCAGCGGTGGAGATAACGGGGCGCGCTCTGTTCCGGGCGGATCGGACGGCAGCTTCGGGTAAGAGCAGGCGGAGGTTTGGCATTGTATGTACACAATGCCTGGTGTACAGCCACACACTCTGTCGGCACATTCTGCTCTCCTGACTTGGAATATCTGGCGGTGAAATGCAGACCCTTCAAGTTGGTGAGAGAACTCTCGTCCATTGTGATCGTGGGCCGTCTACATACCACCGCGGGCTAATGCTAAGTTAGCATTAGAGGAGCTATACTGCCTGATCAGCGGGCAGATGAACTCCAACCCGGAGGCGGCCATGATTGTGGCGGGGGACTTTAACCACGTGGAACTGAAGGCTGTGTTTTCCCAAATTCCACAAGTTCATAAACTTTCCCACCAGAGACAATAACATTTTGGATCAGGTTTACTGCAATACCCCCGGAGCCTACAAGGCTGTAGCAGGTCCACATCTGGGCATGTCTGACCACATCTCAGTGGAGCTGATTCCTGTCTACAAGCCTCTGGCCTGCAGAACTAAGCCGACCACCAGAATAGTTCAGGTCTGGACTGAGGAGGCCTCCTCTGCACTTCAGGACTGCTTTGAGCACACAGACTGGAGTGTGTTCAGGGACGGAGCAGACTTGGAGGAATACTCATCGTCCGTTCTGTCCTATATTCAGTTCTGCACCGATGCTGTCCTCCCGGTTAAGACCATAAAAGTGTTTCCAACCAGAAACCATGGCTGGACAGCACAGTACGGGCCCTGCTGAAAGCCCGGGATGCTGCCTACAGATCTGGAGACAGGTTGGCTTATAGCAGGGCCCGGTCGGAACTGAAAAAAGGAATTAAGCAGGCCAAGCTCCAGTACAAACAGCGGATTGAGGAACACTTCATCAACAACAACCCCCGAAGCATGTGGAGAGGCATCAGGACCATGACGGACTACAAACACAGCACTCAGCTGACCAGCCGCGACCCCACCCTGCCTGACACCTTAAACAGCTTCTTTGCCGCTTTGACACGGTGGGCAGCAGAGAAGCTGTACATCTACCCCGACTGGAAGAGCAGTACCAGCCTCTCGTCCTGCAGCAGCACCAGGTGACGTCCACCCTGAGGAGGATCAACACCCGCAAAGCTACAGGACCGGACAAGGTGTCAGGCCAGACGCTGAAAACGTGCGCCGACCAGCTGGCAGGAGTGTTTCTGGACATTTTCAATCTGTCCCTGCAGTTCACCATGGTTCCTGAGTGTCTCAAGTCTTCCACCATCATCCCTGTACCGAAGAAGACGACCATCACCAGCCTGAACGATTACCGGCCCGTCGCTCTGACCCCGGTGATCATGAAGTGCTTTGAGAGGATTCTTCTGAGGTACATCAGACACTTCATCCCTGCAGACCTGGACAGCCTCCAGTTCGCCTACAGAGCGAACCGGTCAACAGAGGATGCTGTCTCCATCACTCTGCACACAGCCCTGACCCATCTGCAGCATCCCAACACTTACGTCAGGATGCTATTTGTAGACTTCAGCTCAGCATTTAACACCGTCATCCCAGACAAGCTGGTGCTGAAGCTACTCAAGGTGGGGCTGCCTGCTTCACTGTGCCACTGGATCAGAGACTTCCTCACCAACAGGCCTCAGGTGGTGAGAATAGGTGGCTCAACATCGTCCCCACTGGTCCTCAACACAGGCACACCGCAGGGCTGTGTGCTCAGCCCAGCTCTCTTCACCCTGTTCACACACGACTGCGTTGCCATCCACCCCACCAACACAGTCGTCAAGTTCGCGGACGACACAACAGTAGTGGGTCTCATTTTCAGACAACAACGAGACCCACTACAGAGAGGAGATTCAGCAGCTCACTCAGTGGTGTTCAGCCAATAACTTGGTGCTGAACACAGGGAAGACCAAGGAGGTCATTGTGGACTACAGAAGGTCCAGGAGGACGGGTCACACTCCCCTTCTCATAGATGGAGAAGAGGTGGAGCGTGTGGACAAACATCAAGTTCCTGGGCCTCCACATCACCTCTGACCTCTCCTGGAATACCAACACCTCCCACCTGGTGAAGAAAGCACAACAAAGGCTCTTCTTCCTCAGGAAACTGAGACGGGCTGGACTTTCCTCACGGCTGCTCGTGAACTTTTACAGGGCGACGATCGAGAGCGTCCTCTGCCTCAACGTGACTGTGTGGTATGGTAGCTGCACAGCACTGGAGAGGAAACAACTGACACGGGTGGTGAGAACAGCACAAGGCATTGTGGGATGCCCCCTCCCGGACCTGGACTCTATTTACATAGGCCGGGTCAAGAAGAGAGCTGGATCCATAGCCATGGATTCAAGCCACCCGGGCCACAGACTGTTTGTGCCGCTGCCATCAGGCAAGCGGTACAGGAATATACGGACTACAACAAACAGACTGAGAAACAGTTTCTTCCCCACAGCCGTCAGAACCATTACTCCCTGCCGCCCCCTCCCACACATATCATAACCTCACATACACCCCCCGCCCCCACACAGCCATATTGTTTCTGCACTTGCACTGTCACATCATCTGCACTTTACCATAATTGGACCTGCTGCTTCTTCTTTGGTGTGGTTGAGTGCCTTTAGTTAATTTTAGTTGTATATATTATTATTATTGTGTATTTGTTTATTTAATATTGTATTTTTTGACTTTTTGCACGGGAGTTGCAATAGAAATTTCGTTGAATCCTGTTCAATGACAATAAATGCTATTCTATTCTATTCTATTCTATTCTATTCAAGTATAATTTTGGTTACAGTTTGGAGAACATAAACAAATTGGATGGATGGATAAATGAAAGCAATAGGTGGCTTGTGGTTTTCAGGAGGACACTCAGCATGATTGCCAGAGAGTGGGAGAGGACGGACAAAGCAGACCGATTGGGCGCCACTTCAGGTGGCGTTCGGACAGATGACAATGAGGCTCTTGAGAAGAGAAGGTTAACTGACTGATGCAAACACAAGAGGCTGATAGCCATCATTTGTAACCTCATGTTGATCTATTGTAGCATACATTTTCTAAGGATTTTGCTCCTTTTAGCTCATATATTTAATGACTTTGGGAACCATTCTAACTGTGCAATATTAGCCTTCTGTAAAACAACACAGCTGGTTGGTGCCGGAAGTTAGAAAAGTAGCAGTAATCACAAATTCAGTGGGCGATGTTTATTTACATGTATTATTTTTAAAAGAAATAGGTAGAAAAGATAAATGTTAATATTATAATTTTTTTGTCCACCTGACCTGATCCTTGTTTTTGCGGTGTTCCTCAGAGTATAGTTCTCTGCCCTTTTGTTCTTTCAACTTTTCCATCGTATTGAACAAGAAAGTAGTGTGATTTGGGTGTTGCTTTAAAATACATCAACACTTGCCTCAGACCTTAAACAAGAGAACTTTGGTTTGATTTAACTTCAGACAACGAGGACAAAAAGTGTCGTCCTGTGTATGGTTTCAATTGCACACTGACATTGTTTTGCAGAAGGTTTCATTCTAAATATCAAACTTGTTTGCTCCTCTTTTCTAGATCCATATGTGAAGATTCACCTCATGCAAAACGGAAAGAGGCTGAAGAAGAAGAAAACGACAATCAAGAAGAACACCCTCAACCCTTACTACAACGAGTCCTTTAGCTTTGAAGTTCCGTTTGAACAAATCCAGGTGCGTTTCTTCTGTCTTAAAAATCCTGTCCCCTAATTGGTAAGTTGCCAGAAAGTTAGGGGGGAAAAATTATCTTTGCATATTAGCTCTAATAAGTAGGAGCTCATTTAGCAAATAATCCTTTTAGCATCTTTTTCATCATAACAGTTTAATCAAAGGCAGTTCAGTTTAAATCGGCCTCAGTTCCCCAATTAGACGAGCCGGTGGCTGAGTGGTTGTGATTCTCTGCAGTCTGTTATTGTGTGCGGCATTTATCTCATTTATCTGTTTGCAGAGTTTCTTACAGCGTAATGATCATCAAACCTATCAACATCAGGCTGATTTTAACCAATTGTTACAGCAGCCATGATGTTCTTTGGGCTGCAGGAGGAAGGAAAAAATGTTTTCATTTAAAATAGGTGAATCTGTTGACTCGGAAAGTATGAAAAAACAAACAAGGTTATCTTCTCTGGCAGGTAATTGAGTGAAATTAATTAAACCTGTCACAGCTCACCAATCACGAGTTTGATACCCCACAATCAATGTAATCAGATCTGATCCTAATCAGCTCTGTGCAGATAAATACTCATACCTGCTACCTGTTTATCACTGAGGTGCATTGAATTGATTGAATCAGAAGCGTGTCATTGATTGAATTTATTGAACACTTTTTGGACGGCACTAAGCACACTTTAAAGACCTAATTTGAACACTTTGAGCTGGCTGTAAGCGTTAAACTAATGAGCTGTTTAAATATCTTCTCCATCACCAATGGCTCCTGAACACTGTGAAATCTGCTGACTTTAATTACGTTCTCACACCCACATATTATCAATGTCTTTGAGGAACACAGTTTAAATTGTTGATTGAGCTCTCTCTCTCTTTTTGCTTCAACTTGTTTACTTTTCCATCAAGTTACACTTAATGAAAAGTGTTGAATTTGTTTTATTTCTGGTTTAACTCTGAGAAATGTTTCTGTTTTGTTATGCATTATTTATTTTTTGTTAGACCTAAATGGTTCCTATGATTAACCTGAGTAAATACAGCAAACAGTTTAATTTAAATACAGCCAATATAATTAATTTTCTTGCTTAAAATGTATTTTCAAGACAGGAGCGTGTCTCCTGAACTCAACAGCCTCTAAGGAACACTTGGTTAATCTAAACGGGAAGCAATACAGGTTTAGAGCAAACATGCAAGAACCTTTCTAATTAGAGCAGCTTGTTTATCTCTGATTGATATGAAGAGTCAAAGCAGAAGATTTTGACTTTCCAGATGAAAGATTCAGTCTGAGGGAGAAACCTGCTGATTTTCCGTATTAATGAATCAAGGTGTCTGCTGATTCAGAATCAAAGGAAGCTTTATTTCAATAAGCAAACTGGAGGTGAACTGCAGCTATAAAGCTGAGCTAACCCCAGCTGGCCTTGAGGGAGCCTTATTCAGTGTTTCATTACATGCTGTATTAGCCACGCTCTTTTAAAGCAGTGGCTTGGATCGCACCCGGGTGGCGGCGACGACGGCGGCCCCGTCTCAGTGTGCCGCTGGATCGAAACTTAATCAGGCCGGTTCGTGCATTAATTCATATTCTGAGCTGTGGATTGATGCTCAGGTCACTCTTCTCTGCAGTTTCACTTTGAATAAACACACTAAAGCTGAGGGCTGGAGGGCGAGGAATCAAACAATCAAGTAGCAGTCAATAAAATCCCTCTGCTTCTCTCAGAGGAAACTTTATGGTTACTGTGGAATAGAGAGAAGCACGTGTCGTAAACATTGTAGACTTGTTCTACAAACCAGAATGATGCTTGCAAAATGGAAAAACAGCAGCAGGGATTGTGCCCAGAAAGACATTTCAATGATGTTGGTGTTTTTCATTTATTTTTAAATGGGCATTATTATGTAAATTTTACTTATTTTAAAAGTTCTAATGTTATTCCCTCATCAAAAACATACCTGAAGTGTAGCCCTGATTCTTTCATGCATGTTTTATGAGTGTGAGAGAATCCCTCCCTCATGACTCCTTCAGACTAGCCAGCAGGAATTAGCAAACACCTGGTGGAACTCTGCATGTGCTGAGCTCATTATACGAGAAACTTCTCAGTGCAACACTGGTAAAAACTTTTATAGTTAATTGAGGAGTAATGTTGTGTTGAGTTCAGAAAGAGCTTGACTTTCTTAAAGAGACAGAGGCCTAATTTCAATGCATTAAATTAGAAAATCAAATTCCTTTTGTCAAATTTAATACAGCAACAGGGTAGCATAGCAGGATGTGGTATAAAATGACAGTTGCTGGAAAACACATAATCCTGCCTCTTTAAAGCTAAAATGTCATAGTTTGTGGTCCTGCAACAAAAATGTGGGATTAGGGATTTCTAAACAGAAACTTGAGCGTTTCTAAAACAAACTGTACGTCTGCTGTCTTCCCCGCCTCCTGTCTCTTCCTCCCACTGCAGAAAGTCCAAGTTGTTATAACTGTTCTGGACTATGACAAGATCGGCAAGAACGACGCCATTGGCAAGGTGTTCGTGGGCCTGAACAGCACAGGCACAGAGTTGCGCCACTGGTCCGACATGCTGGCCAACCCGCGGAGACCTATCGCCCAGTGGCACGTGCTGAAGCCCGAGGAGGAGGTGGACGCGCAACTCGCCACCAAGAAATAGGCAGGGCCACTTTCAGCTCCCTGCCTTGTAGTACTCTTTAGCCAGTATGTGTAAATACCTCAGTGATATATGGGTCCATCCATCTGAGCCCTCCCTTTACCTTCTGATTACAGAGTAAATCAATCAAATGTCCCGCTTTTCTTTGTCTGTTAGGTTCTCCGTTTCTCTGATTTGATTGGTTTCCTCCTCTGAGCCCTTCACCACCACGACCAAAAGCCCCCTTCTTTTAAGCAATATGATCTGTATAGATAGCGCATGACTGAAAGAGTTTATTGTACCACGGTTGTATATATAAGTATGCAGACAAAAATGATTTCTAGTTTCTGTGTTTGTATGTTGTTACCCGTTTCCTAATCTGTGTATATCTTGATGTTTTTAATAAGATGTTCTATTTTAAATTATGTAAATGCAGATATAGAGGAAAGCTAATATTATATATCCCAGGATTTAAAAATTCTACCTTATTACTTTATTGCATTCCAGAGTAAAAAGACAATTAACTCCAACCTGCGAGTGAGGAAAATGTTCAGATCGTAAAGGACGGCGTCTGGCTTTAACTTCAGCATCAAGCATAGAGAAACAGATGAATATAAACCAATATAAGGCCATTATCTGCTATGGTTCTGTTGGGAAAATTATGCTGGATATTTTACAAGCACATGACTCCTAATGACGTACTTAGTTCTCTACCAGGACCTGCAGTATTTGTTTGGGTTGAACAAATCAGAGTTGAGTCTGTCTTCTTTTCATATTTGGCCAGATATTTTTTTTTTGTTTTTTGTCAAAATTAGTTGAGAAACAGACCTGATGTTTGAGGGGGGGTAGAAAAAAAAAGCACCAAGCTGTAGCCATTGTGCCCTTAATCTTGTTTGACAATATTTTGTTTAAACAGCCTTGTTGTACTTGGAAGAGTCACGTTTTAAGAAGGTTTAAAAAGAAAATGCAGATCTGGACTTAAGAGGACTATTTTTTAGTGCAAATCAGCGTGTTGACTATTTTTAGTAAAGTGCATGATACTTTTTATTTTTACGATCTTTTACTTAAGGCCGGAAAACACCAGGGAGAGCTCTTCTGTTGTGATTCCCTTGCCTTCAAACAGTGGAGTGGCCTAAAAAAAGACAAAAAAATCTAACTTTTCCTCAACAGAATGTTGAGCTTCTAAACACTGCCATTCAGGGAGACGGCTTGACTTGAGACGCTCTCTTCATGCACACTCCCACTCGCTAGTGGTTGTAGCTTCGGTTTTTTGGGAACAATGTCTCTGGCTGCAGTGGTGCCCTAAGTCGCAGTCCTTGCTTTGCGTTGCCTTCTCACAGTGACAATAGAGCTAGCCATGTTTTACTGCCAATTTTAACTTTTATGTGGCTGCTGTTTTTGCACTGGACGTCTTTGAAACTCGCTCATTTACTTCTCTAGAGAATATGTTTGCTTTGTGATGGGTCACCTGCAGGGGGAGCCAGAGATCCTCACAAGGACAAATTACAGCGTTTTCTTTTTAAGCAGGCAAGGAATTAAAAATAGAGGTGTGGGGAAATTGGTCCATCAATTTAGTAAACTGTACATTAGTAGCATTAGTTTGTTTTTAGGAGACATTTGTAAACTTTTTATGCTCAGAATATAATTTCAGATTGTTTTTTTGTTTTTGTTTTTTCGGTTTTATGCTGCTGAAAGGTTTAAGTGAGCATTTCAACTCCAGTGCTCAAAATTTATGCTTTTTTTCTTGTTCTACAGCAAGAAAATATACTTTTCTCCAAAACTGCTCTCAAAGTGGAGTGTAAAGTACTCCAAGAGTGCTCAAAATAGAGAAAATGGGCTTCAATCCATATTCCAAGTGTATAATTTGAGAAAAAGATTCCTTAATTCCTTAATATGAAGGATAAGAATATAGCGTATGCATACAACTTTCTACGCTGAAACAACAGATTGTGTGCATACAGTTTGTATAACTACTGTAACTGGTTGCAATTTGTACAGAATATTCCCTAAACTGGGTGTATTTGTACAGCAGCCAGAACAAATGGTTTGCAAACCTGCAGATTCTAATCCATGTATACAAGCTGACGGGATTCATTCCCGGCTAATCTGAAGGCATGGATTGCAACCCCACTGTTTGGTTTTTAAACTCCTGGAATAGATTCCAATCTGTGCTTCCTAAACTGTGGAGAATATTTGCATTCCATGGTTTGGTTTCCTCAACTAAACGCAACTGATTGCAATCATGTCACTCTCAAAACTGCAGGAACAGATAGCAGTTGTTTATGGAGTTTCTGATACTGATGAAACTGACTGTAATCCACACATGTAGTTTCCCAATTTTAATGAGTAAATTGTTGTATGTGTTTAGTTTCCCAAAGTGAAAGTTTGAATTTCAAATTGTAGTTTCTGAGAAGGTTTGAACATCTGGTTTTCTCAACTGTGAAGAAACTGACTGCAAATTCCTCTGTACAGTTTTCTAAACTGAAGGAAAAGCTGGTAATCTGTGTATATTTTTTATAAGCTAAAGAAAGGAACTATAATTATGCACAGAGGAAATGAGTTGTGTAGGTTTCCTAACCTAGAGCACACGTTGCAGTCCATGCATAACTTTTATAAACTGAGAGAACAGATTTCAAACTGCGTACAGTTTCCTAAACCAACAAAATGTATTTCCCCCACCTCCATTCTTTTATTCCACCTCCTTGCCTGTGTTAGGCTCCGCACCATTAGGCCAACAGCTTCAGATTACTATTGTCGCTAACCTGGGGAGCAGGTAAACAACCATAAAAGTTAATGGTCTGCTGTGACCATCGTGTCCTTTACTTACGGGTCCAATTAGGAGCAGAATAATCCATGAAAACCATGAAGTCTCTTATCTTGGAGGAACCTCTTGCATATACTCGATGCTTATATTTCAGGAGGACTTTCTAAATGTTTTCAATGTTATTGTGTAGTTGATAGCACTATTATGAAAAAGCTACTTGTCATTCCATAGGAGTCTCTGAGGACTGCTTTGTGTATCACTGTGACTGCCGTGTGTGCTTAGAGATGTAGATTTATCAGTAGGTAGCGAGTTCGTTCTGTAGTGATGTCGTAGCATTTAACGCCATCCCCCCTCCCCTTCTACACGCAACCAGAGAGACAGAGTGAGCGTGCACGCCGCCGCACGACGTCACGCGTTTTTATCCGAGCGGGTCGCTTTCACACAGCATTTTGTTGAGCACTGTGCAATACTTGTATGTTCATCCCATAGTGTAACAATCAGCAAGGATGGCGTTTGTCCTTCCCGGCGAGGCGGTACGAACCGTACATCCACCTTGTTCACCTCCTTTTAGAGTTTTCCTCCCTCGTTTCTTCTTTTTTTTTCCGCAGGTTTGTTTTTCTCCTCTTGCACACAATTCCAGCATCAGACGCTTCAGGGAGTCTCAGTTCAAAACCAAACAAGATAAATATCCCTAAAAATGCCATGTATATATCCACATCATGTCAGAAGAAAATAAAACGGTGAAATAAATATATCTATTTAGCAACTAGTATCATTCAACATTTTAAATCTCATCATTGTTAATTTTCTGCCTTAAGTCAAAATCCCTTTTTTATATTTGAGAAGAAACTCTGAATGTACAATACAAACTGTTAGTGTAGATTTCTTCAATCGTGAGATTATTAGATGTACTTTGCACTTTTTGTTGTAATAAAAAAGTAAACATAGTAACTTAAATGATTTTTAAATATACATTCATAACCTGTGTGAGGTGAAAGCTCTCCCCGTCTATTAATGTCCACACAGCTTCAGCCATGTTGAGGGCTAAAAGTGTCACAATTCAATAAAACCAAATATAATTTACATTTGTGATGAATAAATAAATAAAAAACGTGACTTAAATGCATGACTAAATACACAATGAAATCAATGTGAGTACTAATTTACATTCTGAGCAACAATCAATCATGAAATGAATAATCTGCACCGCAACTCAACTCTTACCCAATCACATTGTGTACAGCTGCATTAGCCCCGCCCACCAATTGAAATTAATTTAAATAGATCTTCAGCCTTCAAATGAAGTTTTGGTGATGAATACATGTAAATGTTGTGTATTTATTGGATTATTGAAACAGTTGAAAATTTTTAAATACATGTATTTTCTATTTTATTTTAATTATCACACGCATCATTTAGTTATTTTTGAGAGATGCATAAATGTATATGTTTATTTTATGATAAATAAAACAGCAAAAACATGTCAATTTGTTAAATACACAATTAAACTTGTAAATATGGAAATTAAGTAAAACTTTCATTTAACTTCTCTTAAAATTATGTATTAGTCTTTAATTATTTCATATTTCCTGTGCATGAAATTATTTAATTTAAATTTTATGTAATTCATAAGATTAAAGAAACAATGAGCAAATTAATATTGAATTGTCTCACTTTTGGCCATCAATACATCTCCTCTCTTGGACTTGAGAGAATTTTTGTTTTATTTGACATTTTTCACATGTTAGATCCATTAAACCAACAACAGCTTCAGATTTCAACAAAAACTATAAAAGGATTAAAGTCCGAGGCCTCGGCGAATCCAGGCCACGCTGAAGAAATTATCCGATCAAACAGAGACACATCAGGGAATTCAGACGGAGGGCAGCGTTGCAGAACCCATCGGATCGTGAGGTGGAAAAAAAAAAAACCTCACTAAACAAAAAGCCATTATTACCTGCACTGCAGCGCCACGCCCTCCCCCGCCCCCGTAATACGGTTTCCTACCAAAGCGTGCAAGTATAATCAACACCAATAAAAAATCTCCCCTGGAAAAAGCTGATCAAGCTCTCTGTGTGACAAGATTCTCTCCAGCGACAAAGCCACACTGACCTTTCAGAAGAAAAGCTGTGTAAAGTATTAGAATCTGATGCTGTAGAAAGATCCTAGTTGCCTTTGTGTATATCAACTGCCTGCTTGAGTATTTTGTGTGTGGAAGTTTTCTCTGTAATCTCGTAGAACTGTTTGGGGTGTTTTTTCCTGCCATATCGCTCGCAGCCAAAGCGGGCCGCTGACGGTTATATTTGCTGTGTATACCTTCATTTTCTGATGAGGTGTTTTACAATTTCGTTTCACTTTGTGTAGTGATTCACTCTGTGGAGTTTTCTGACTGTTGTTATATAACTTCATATACACAAATGATCAATAAAAATGTTTTATTTCCTGTTGATATGTCTCATGGCGTGTTTTTATTGCTCAACTGAAATGCAAAAATGCTTTTTCTGTATGTTTTATGTGCTGTGCATGTTGGCCAAATTGGTAGGTGTCGCCTTGCAGCAGGAAGGGGTTGGAAGGCATGGGTTCTTTCCAGGTACTTCCTTTTCCTGTGACCGCTGAAGATAGCCACTGACCACCCAGTGACCCCACAATAACAAGCAGGCAGACATAGACAATGGATGAAAGTTTTACATCTCCCAAACTCCAGGCAGTGTATTAAAAAGACCAACACTGCCATCTACTGGGAACAAACAAATCCAACCATCTCCATGAAAAAGAATGTCTCTTTACAAACAAAAATCTGAACGATGTTGCCCCTTTGCTCTGATTATCCCAAATAAAATCTGGTGCAACCAGAAGGCTTCAGGAGTCATTTAGTGGCTAAATGAGGTCCATCGTTCAGTTTGTCACCTCTAAACAGTGAAAATGGGAAAATACCGCAAACCACTCATTTTCCTGGAGGACTATTTTCCTGGAGGAGTTGCAGAGATCCTCAGCTCAGGTGAAATTCCCCTAGTAAAACAACATTATATTCACCAAACTCTGGGCGGTGAGGATTCTTTTCTTCAGGAGAAACAAAGAAGTCGGTCAAAGAAGTTAAGGGAAAGATAGAAGCGGCTAATTAAGATATTATGAGAAGATCAAACACAAGTTTATTCAGGCTTTTGCTGAAGGAAAACAAAACTGGATCTGTGCACCAGTTGATCTGATCTGGTCTGACTTTGTGACCGCAAGTTGCTAATCCTGCAACAAAACTGGTACAATCCAGTTCTGTGATTAGGTGTTCTTACTAAGCAGTCAACAAAAGGAGGAGCAACACCTAGCCAAGGGGACAAAAGGGAATAAAAGAATGACAAACATCTTGTCATAGTGCATCAACTAAAATGTTTATTACTACACCTATTTGAGGTCTGCAAAAGACTTGACTCTGGTCAGAGGTCCTTCCAGGACGATGACTCTAAATATACAGTCAGAGGGAATGTTATTGTTTCGGAAAGGCCTAGTTAAAGTCCAGACCTAACTCTGAGAGTTGACAAGTCTGAAGCGTTGATGTTCATAGCTTTTTCAATGATTCAATGTTTTTTGGTCTTCATAAAACTGAAGTATTTGGTGTGATGTGATCAAGTAAAGAATTGTTTGCAGAGCTAACTTTTCAATGAACTCAAATGTAGACCCACTTTAGCTATGAAGTAGCTTACTAAAAGTCACATTTCTACATTTTTTTGTGGCTTTTTATTTATGTTTTGCATCATTTCCACAGAATACTGTGCTAATCTTCATCAAATGAAAGATAAGAAAAACAGACACCATTAGAACTTGCAAATGTTAATACCAGGACAACCTACTGTCAAGCTCGCTGCATGAATTTGTTCTGACTGCAAAGTTTAAAATGAAGCAGTTTGGCTGCATAATATATTTTACTGCAAGACCAAAATGTGACATTTGTTATACCACGAAGTGGTTTGACACATAAGGTAAGATAAATAATGTGTTAGAGCTGCAGGAGGAACAAATTGATATGTGTCACTTATCTAGCAGCGATTATGAAGCATGTCAGCTAAAATAAAGAGAACCGGGTTCTGCATGAACAGAAATATAAATTGGGACAGAGTGCATCTTCACAGTGTGCAGTTTTTATGTTGCTAAAAATTATATAAGAAATATGCTTAGTTTTTACTTAGTCTTTATTTTTAGGAGGTGTGGAAAAAAGCAGCAACATATAACCAAAAGTCTTCACATTTTATAATTTTATATATGATTGGATGTTTTATGTTTCTTTGATTTTTAATCCATGTCTGTTCAAACTTTCACTTCCCAAGAAAGTTAGTTTGAAGGCATGATCTTTTACCGCCCCTCTCTGGTGAAAACGGTTTATTACAACATCCTACCAATGCAAAAATCTTTTAACCTTGCATAATTGCTAAGCCATTTTGTTATATGTGTGTGACGCAATTTTTATTTTGATCGTGAAAAAGAAACCAGGCATACAGACAATAAACAGACTATTTCGGATAAAACTAAATATTTATTTATCATTGAAGTAATGTATTTGTAGGGACAAATGTGTGCACATTCACATGCAGAGTGGCTGTATATGATGTGAATGGTCAAAAATGTAATTTTAAATCTACCTAATCGAGTAAGTCAAATGATTTGTGTCTGTAAATGTGAAGCACAGTAAAGAAACGGTTTCACTAATCACAAAAAGGGATTAAACAAGGTAAAGTTGCAGTGTAACGCCTGTAAACATTCATACGTAACACACGTAAGACATCGCGTGCTGATCCGGGTCTTTTTCTGACAACGCAGTTTTAAAATTTATGGGAGATCTCATTTACACCCCCAAAATTAGCCCCTGTGTACAATTATAATGGCATAATGGTTGATCTAATTGTTCCGTTGGAATACATAAAAAGCAAAAAAAAAAAAAAAAAAAAATTATAAAAAAAATAAAATAAAAAAAATTGTTTGCAGATTATTTCCATCAATTTTTATCAGAAATGTTAAAAATGACGTTGGATTTTCAAGGTTTCAATTATAGTGTTTTTGGCAAATAATGGGATTTATTTAGAATTCATTGAATTATATTTATTTCTCAAAAACAACCAGTAGTGTCCCCTTTAATCATTCATTTTCCTTGATTTACTAGAGTTAAGTAAATTAACCTGGTTACATCCTAGACCAAGACACCAAAAGATGTCATAACTTGATAATAAAACAAGAGTCCAGTGCACACGGTGGCTGCCTCGCCTCGTAGGAGAGAGCACGCTGCTAAAACGTGACCACGCTGTGACACGCACGAATCGGTTTGAACCAATCAGAGCGCAGCTACGAACCAGAGGACGTCGCCAGTTGGCGGAGGAACGGCAGTAGGTGCGGCTATACAGGACGAGCGGCGGTCTTCTGGCTATAAGGGGAAAAAAATCACCACATATTCTCACTTAGACGTCTGTTTTCTCGCGTGGAAACCCGTTTGGAAGAGAACGAGGAGGTATTTTAATAACTGGATATTTCTTTGGACGACATTAAAGCGACGAATTTCGTGGTTTGGAGTTTACATAACAGGCTTTCCTGGTGTTCACCGGTTCTGCTACGGAGTATTCTGGTCATTCGCCTCCTAAAATAACAGGCTAGTTAAATATTCCGTCTTTAACAGTCATATTGGGTCATTAGAGTAAGGGACAAGTCGAAAAGTTTAGTGTTTTTTCAATATTTACGGGTTTTTCATTTTTCTGAAAAACAAGTTATACAACAAACCAGGCTAGAGCGCTGCAGCCACCAGGGTCCTAAAGCTCGCGGGGTTCGCGTCATCACAGTTCCTTGGAAAACTCACTTTTTTGCGTCCAAATGCTTCAGGAATCAGCTGTTTATCAATTCTTCCACATTATGGAAAAAGTTCTGTTAGAGCAAGGCTAATAAAAAAAAATCCGGGCTCAAGTTTGTTTGTTTTTTTCTTATCTGAAGTGACTTTCTATATTATTCTGCTTGGACTAACAACTGCCTGCGAATTGGAATAATAATCAACGGAGCTCCGTTAAAAGAAGAAGAAGAAGACTGCTGATATCATTCACGAAAGGAATAACTGAAGGGCTCGTCCAGTTGAGTAATGGTCATTAATACGATCCACTGGTTCCGGAAGGGTTTGCGGCTCCACGACAACCCGTCGCTGAAGGACTCCTTGCTGGGGGCTGATGCAGTCCGCTGCGTTTACATCCTCGACCCCTGGTTCGCTGGGTCTTCCAACGTCGGGATAAACAGGTGGAGGTGAGAACAGCAACCTAATAACACACACCTCACAATGCATTCATATCAGGATTTTTACCAGGATTAAAATTAGGTCAATACAACATCAGATTATATCAATATTTGGGACAAACTGAAGTAAAATGCAGCATCTGCCAGGGGAATAAGTGGAAATCCGGTGATGCAAATCAAAGAAGTTCAGTGTGTGGTGATGCAAGAAAGCATTTCTTAGAACAGTTATTATACAGCAAGAAAACTTAACATTACTTTGATACCCTTAAAGAAAAGCCTGTGCAAACAGTTAAATTCAAATGCAACCTACCAGCAAACATGACCTTTAAGGAGGTTGATGTTGGAAAACCACAAGACATCCTGTTTGCCACTCACAATGTAGGGGACATGTGAGACATGTAGAACAGAGTGCTACAAAGATGCGAAAATGGCAGAACACAATGGTGGCAGTATGATGCTGTGTTGCTATTCTTCAGCATAGATAGGTGTGATGGATGGAGTTGCATAATGGTTGATCTAATTGTTACGTTGGAATTGTAAAGAGCTAAAAAAATTGTAGATTATTTCCATCTATTTTTATCAGAAATGTTAAAAATGATGTTGGATTTTCACTAGAAAACTTGCAAAGAAACCTCAGCCCTTTTATTTTTAAAAATATTTTTGAAGGAAACACATTCTTAATTGAAAGCAGATCTAGAGTTACTAGACTTCATTAATGTTGTAAGTGGACAGAAAGTTACTACAGGTACAGAAGAGACTCACAGTGACCCAAATTATTACAAAGGTTTATAAAAACAGTCCAAATAAGACTTGAAATAACAATGAGGGGATAGAAACACACAGAGTTACCAAACCAAAACATAACAAATAAAATCAGATGCAAATTTAACTTGATGAGACTCAGATAAAAGACCACAAAATTACTATATTTGACAAGTGAAATGAGCCTTAATGAGACTTAATGGATGGTAAATACTTCCAAAATACAAAATACAAACAGTTGGATTTCTATTGTTTCTCTTCTCATGGGTTAGTTCAATTAAACGTAGAGGTTTGTGTCATTGAATGAAGAAATTAATCAAAGATTAATAAAAAAAACATGGCTGCTGTGAATCAAAGTAAACCTTCGCACATATAAAACATGGCTTGACCCTTCAGAATCAAACAAGTTTCATCCACATTGTTGTCCTTTTCAAGCATATAGATCATTATTTGAGAAGTTAGTTTATGTCTACTAAAGGATGGCTTACAAATAAAAAAAATACAGCTAGTTCATTATTATATAAATGAGCAAAGGTCAAAGTATCAATAATCTGACTGATATATAAACCTGATTACTCATAGAACCAATGACTTTACTCTGTTGTTGTTGTTGTTTCAACTGATCTTCTAAATATTAATGATTTCCAGGACATCTGAGAAGTCTCTTGTATGTTTTTTAGAGTTTCTAGAATGTTATTTTTGAATTAATATCTGTATCATTGAAGTTTTTTGAGATAAACTTACACAAAGTAGAATAAAATGGAATAAGAGACTCACGTTTTCATTCTTAAAAAACAGATTCATTTAGAATCAGATCCTACATCCTTATAAATATATTCCAAGTGACTGTTGTCAGAAGTGACCTCATTATATAAATCCAGCTGTTCTGTGAAGGCCTCAGATATTTGTTGGATCGCTTTAGTGAACATCCAGTACTATGAAGTCCAAGGAACACAGCAGGGAGGCCATGGTCAACATTGTGGAGAAGTTTCCAGCAGCTGGAAAGACTCACTTCTTAACATTTAGAATATGTCGACTACTATCATTAATTTGGCAAATTTTAGCTTTTTTTGAAGAGCAAAACGTCTTGTTTACAGTTTGTACCTCAAGCAATGTAGATCATCATCCACTAATTATGTTTGAGATATTGTTTTTAAAGGAATGGCTGAAAAAAATCAGTGTATATTTATGTAAAGCTAATAGATTAAAGCTTATGCTAAAGCTAATTCAATTTTAAAAAATACCTTTTTGAAAGTATTTTTAAATGTTGTTGTATAACCCATGTATTTTCAGAGTCATTGGGAATTAATTGTGATGCTGTGTGCAGAAAGGATATCCTCCAGCAGTCAGTCATGGATTCAGTTTAAAATGCTTCTGACTGGAGACTATCCTGACATCCTAACAGCTCAGTTTCCAGGCAGCAGAAATGATATTTCACAGTAGCATCTTAAATCACACCAGCAATTGTTAACCAGTTCTGCTAATCCACCTCATTTGCTTTTGCCGCTGAGAAAGAAATTGTCAAACATTTGCAGCAGTTCCAGTAAACCATGGTTGTACAAATTATTGTAGAACCTCGCCGTGTTGCTCTAACCGCATAAAATGTTGATGTAGCGCATTAACGTTTACTTTTGTAGGGGTTTGAATACTTTCCCAGGTTATGATGTCGGAGGAATGTTTGTCCCTGCAGAGTTGTCCTTTTGTTAGATTGACGCTTTGGCCAGTCAAAACATGCATTCCCTCTGACCCAATCATTTCTCCATGTCAGTCTCCACTTCAGCTGCCGCTGCGTGTGCAAACCTCAGCGTGTTGTTCATTCATCAGTCCACAAATTGATGATGTTGTTTCCATCCAGAGTTTAATGTCATCTCCGAGAGTGGAGCTTCAGTTCTGATGAGCATCCATGTTTTTCATTCAGTGTTACGCAACAGCAGTCAGCTGTGACGCAGCGCAAACGCACAATGCCCTGATTCCTTCCTTCGTTCCGTTTACTGTGTACATATTCAACATTTCCATGCAGATTTTGAGTCAAAACACTATTAACACCGCATTACTCTGAGACTTTTCTCGAATACGGTCGCTCCAGACGACTTAATCACGGTAACTTCTCACTTCTCGCTGACTTTCTCCGGTCTGAAACAAGTAGGTCAGTGTGTCAATAGCAAACCCTTCAACTCTGTGGTTTGTCTGACCTATTCCTGCTGTCCTGGCAGACTGAAAGACCCCAGCTTGGTCCACAATGAGCTCTAATCCCCGCAAAGCTGATGTCGTCTGATATTTACTTTCACATCATGATTACAGACTCCTTCTTAGTGGTCGTGTTGGTGTAGAATGGTTCTATGAAGTAGTTAAAGATAAGAGGGAGAAACAGTAAAAGTTGGATACGGATGGGATTATAATTGAGCTGTGTAGTGGTTTTCTTTCTGGGTCAGTCTCACGTTGTTAAGCTGACCTTGGATCAGAACAGCTGTCAGCTTAAACCTCCATCTTTGTCCCTGAAGAGGTGCGTAGATTTCAGGGAGGGACGTCAGATGGTGACTCAACTAATCTCAACTAATTTAGCCAAGAGGAGAAGGTGAAAAGTTTCAAAAAGTTTCCATCGTCAGGTCATGGAAGGTTGTTTATGGTGGATATGGGGAGTCATTTTATTTGTTGCTCAGTGTTGTTGACAGGCAGGGAAAACTAGCATTTTAACACAAGGTACTCTTTAAATAAAAGCTTAACTCAAGTGTAAGAAAGCTTCAGAGTGGCAAGAAAAACACTTTAATTTTACAGAAAAGCTCAAAAATGACAAAAGATATCCTCTACTCCCCATCTATTCTCTAAAGTGTTTTAAGAAATGTCCAGATCTGGAAAAAATGAACCTCATGGTTTTTTCACCAAATATTGATTTCTGATCTCTTCCTGAACGAAAACATTAGTATTATTGTTTCTAAATAAATATTAACTTGTTTTCTTTGCATTATTTGAGGTCTGAAAGCGCTGCCTCTTTTTGGTCTCATTTTCTGCAAATAAACACAAAATTTTGGGGGGAAATTTCAAGGTTTCCCCCAGAAAACTCAAGTCTGGTGGTTGGGCTCTTGGCATTGATTCATCCAGAGGTCATTGCATTTTCGAGTTAAAAATGTTCAAAATTGACAGGAAATTTGAAAATATCACTTGATAATTATGTGTTATTAAAAGATTAGGGAATTAATACCTGAACAACAAATATAAAATCTTAAAAAATGTAAGCATTTTAAAAAGACTTAAAAAAAAACAACAAACAAACAATACTTTGAAGAGTAAAATAAGATAGAACATTTTTTAGAACTATCTTCCTGTTCAGGAAAAGTAAAAGTGAGTTTAGTCTCTTTCACCTATATATACATATATGTATTAAATATATCATTTATTCAATGTGGTTTCAGAAAATGCTGCTGAGGTTAATTTGTGTCATTAGGACATTAAATAACATCTGTTAATAATAAGCTAAATAAAAGTTTTATGCAGCTCTCTATGATATAAGTTAGTTTTACATTGTATGATTAATTTGTCTGACACAAAAAACAAATACATTTTCAACATTTTCTTAATTCTTCCACTGTATAAAGATTGTTTGATTCATCCAGTGTTTTTGTTTGATTAGTCATAAATTAAATCCAAAATAAGCATTGAAGTTTTCTTTAGTAACAGTTTGAAAAAGTCTCAACAATATTAAAAATGTCACAGCTTTAGAGCTGCTGTTACAACAGCAGGATCATCTCTTAAAAATACAGCTTTGCTTAATAGAAAGTTTAAAAATGGCCACTCAGTGTTTGGATTAAATTAAAAATAGCAAAAGGTTTTTAAAATAACGCCTCAAGTAATTGTATTAATCATCTTAGGTTATGGGCTTGTTGTATTATAAAGGAACGTTGGGATTAAATGTTCCCAGTATAGATCCTGTCTTCAAACCAGTTTAACTTTTGAGTCATATCATAGATTAAATCTGAACTGCACTCTGTTTCCTTTCTGTATAAATATAATTATTTTGGATTGAGTTATCATTGGATTTCATTCTTTTTATTGGAAGTATAGAAAAGAACGTCACTTAAATAAAAGTACAGGAGCTCAGAGATTCTGACAGCCATCTTGAGTTTCTTCCATCGTCAGCAAACTGTTAGCATGTTGCCCTGTAGTCCAACCCACTTTTGCTTTTAGTTTTTTGGTCTTCTCCTTGGTGTACATGTTGGAGTGTTATTGATTTATTGAGAGTGTGGACAGGTGTAACAAGTTCAAACAGGTGCAGTTGATGAGCACTTTCTTAGTGGGAAAAGTCATAAAATCTGTATAAAATTCTTATTTTGCTTAAGACCAACTTAAACTATATATGCTGACACATTATCTACCAATGCACATGCATGGCGACTGTTATGTCTTTCATTACCCATAAATAAAGTATTAATCAAACACTAAGTATGCTGATGATTATTTTTAAAAAGTTGAATCTTAGAGATAACATCTGATTTCTTGCCCAGTTATTTGTGTACAAACACCAGCTTCTTCTGCCTTCTCCCATTATCACCAGTGACACACTTACCTCTGCTTCACCATCGAGGTTTGTCAGTTTTGTCTTGGTTTACTGATGTTTCTGATTACTCATCTTTTCAGCCTTGTGAGCTGCAGCAACATAAGATCAAATTGCTTCTTTCAATTCTCAAAAGTGCAGGTTTTTGGATCTGGTTCACCTCAGATGAGAGACATTGTTCAGATGTAGGTCATCACAAAGAAACGTTCTGTTTTGGACATTCAAACGTAGAAAAACACTCTTATTGCTGTAAATTTTGTGCATAACATCTGATTTATTTCGAGGTCTCCGGGACATCCAGGAAGCTGGAACTAGAGCGCCACATGCAGGTTCAGAAGGAAAACTGGTTTATATTAAATTGATGTTTGAACTTGGAAAATTAAACTAAATCTATCCTATTCTCGGGCCTGCATTAGTATCATAAAATATCCAATGAAAATGAGTTTAATTTGATTCCTGATCTTAAATTGTTTCCTTTATTGAGTATATTTTTTCTATTTTCTCCAACAACAGCGTTCTTGTTTTACACCAGTTTTAATAAATAAAAGTTTGATGCAGCTCCTCTTCCTTCCTCTCTGCAGGTTCCTGCTGCAGAGTCTCGAGGATTTGGACTCCAGCCTTAGGAAGCTCAACTCCCGTCTGTTTGTGATCCGGGGCCAACCCACAGATGTCTTTCCCAGACTCTTCAAGGCAATTTGACCCACTATATCCCACACACTCGGGTTGCTGCTGGACTCTCATGGAAGTCCTGAATAATCGTTTTAAATCTGTTTTGCAGGAATGGAAGATCACTCGGCTCTCTTACGAGTACGACTCTGAGCCTTTTGGGAAAGAGCGAGATGCTGCCATTAAGAAGCTCGCCTCTGAGGCCGGAGTGGAGGTGACAGTTCGCATCTCCCACACGCTCTATGACTTGGACAAGTGAGTTGTCACACACCAAACAGTCCTGCTGCTGTTATTACTGTGTTGTTTGAAAACCAAATGTTTCTTTTTTGTGCTTATCAGGATCATAGAGCTAAACGGGGGTCAGTCTCCCCTCACCTACAAGCGGTTCCAGACTCTCATCAGCCAGATGGATGCAGTGGAGCTGCCTGCAGAGTCCATAACGGCTGAGATCATGGGAAAATGCACTACGCCGCTGTCTGATGACCATGATGATAACTTTGGGGTTCCCTCTCTGGAGGAACTGGGTGAGTTTAGCCTAAAGATGCAAACAATTAATCAAATTACGTTTAATATTCAATGAATGATTTATTAGATTAAAATAACACCGACTTAGACCTTACTATGTTGTAGTTTGGCCTCCATCTAGCAGAGGGCGCCACTAGTCATCTGTAAGCAGAGAAAGCTGATTCAGAATTAAAAATGGAGGAGATGTAACAGAACAGGAAAGAGAAACAGTTCAAACCGAGTTTTTATGTGGATTTGTTTTAAAATATAAACACTCGACAAACTTCTGAAATTTCACACTGACATTGATGGAGCAGCATCCACTTCTCAACCAAAAATTCCCGATTTGCTACGAAGGCGATGATGTAATGAGAGAAAAGCAGAAGGCAAAGCGCAGAAAAATTGCAACATGATGGAAAAAGACATGATGTCGGTAAACACAATTGATTTTGAGGGCTTTCTGAGTTTAATAATGTGAGAAACATTTTGCCCTTTATGGAAAGACAAAACTCCAGTTTTTAGCAAAGTGGCCACTTATCAATTAATCATTTGTCAATCAATAATTTGAACCAACTTCAGATTAAGTTGAATTTCTAGTTCAGCCATTCTTAAACAGCATAGAAGGAATTCTGATGATGTTCTGGGATATGAAGATGGCTGTAAATTGTGTGCTTTTATCATGAACTTGCAGGTTTTGACACCGAAGGTTTGTCTTCGGCTGTGTGGCCTGGAGGAGAAACCGAAGCGCTCACTCGACTGGAGAGGCACCTGGAGAGGAAGGTCAGTCCCAACTTGGTTTTTGTAAATCGCCTCGTCTTCTTGCAGTTCTAATAATGTGACTGGTTTTGCCATCAGGCGTGGGTGGCGAACTTCGAGCGTCCCAGAATGAACGCCAACTCTCTGCTGGCGAGTCCGACCGGCCTCAGCCCGTACCTGCGCTTCGGCTGCCTCTCCTGCCGCCTCTTCTACTTCAAACTCACCGACCTTTTCAGGAAGGCGAGTGTTTTTACCACCATGATACTTTTTGCTTTAATGATGCAAGTTTAATTATTTTCATTTCCGTTAGCTTTATATGTAGTCGAGTTTAACATTAAATAGAATAATTAAAGCCAAATGGTAAAAAGTTATTGGTCTTAGAAAGTTCAGCCGACTTTGATATGAATCCCTCATCCTGAGTAAGCATGTGGCGACAGTGGGAAGGGAGGACTTATTTTCAGCAGGAATGAAGAAAATCCGGTTTAGTTTGAGCGGTCAGCTTGGACTTGAGTACTTTCTATAAAAAAAGAAATAAACAGCTCAGCATGGGATCCATGAAAAAGAAATACAAAACAAAAATAGCACCCAGCAAAATCTCCATTAATGAGATCATCCTTGAAAGAAACAACAAAAATACAGAAGAGAAGACAAAGTCAGCTGCAGGAAGAGTAGCATTAGCTTTAATTAGGAAAAATAGCTCCATCTACGTCTTTGTGTGGAACCAAATCACAAATCATAAAAGTGACAGCTAAACACTGAGTCACTGCACCAGAAATTTCATAGTAAATGTCAGAAACATGTCCATCAATCTTCTTTTTCTGGATAAACACAGAATAACTGAGCGAGGAGTAGATTTAAAGTAAGAGACAGCAGAAGTTTTGTTATTGACTTCATCCAGGATTCAGACTCTGAATGTTGCTTGATGTTAAGAAATATATAAAACACAACTTTTCTATTTTGCCGTCTACCCCGAAATAACATAAAAAAATCTCTAACGTCTGATTGCAGGTGAAGAAGAACAGCTCCCCTCCTCTGTCGCTGTACGGCCAGCTGCTGTGGCGCGAGTTCTTCTACACAGCCGCCACTAACAACCCCTGCTTCGACAAGATGGAGAGCAACCCCATCTGCGTCCAGATCCCCTGGGACCGCAACCCCGAGGCGCTGGCAAAGTGGGCCGAGGGCCGGACGGGCTTCCCGTGGATCGACGCCATCATGACGCAGCTGAGGCAGGAGGGCTGGATCCACCACCTGGCCCGGCACGCCGTGGCCTGCTTCCTGACCCGGGGAGACCTGTGGATCAGCTGGGAGGAGGGCATGAAGGTAGGGGACGCCGACTCTGAGTCACTGTCAGGTTTCGCAGAACGTATCGGACCGTTTTGGTTTGGTCTTCAGGTGTTCGAGGAGCTGCTGCTGGATGCAGACTGGAGTGTCAACGCCGGCAGCTGGATGTGGCTCTCGTGCAGCTCTTTCTTCCAGCAGTTCTTCCACTGCTACTGCCCAGTTGGGTTCGGCCGACGCACCGACCCCAACGGAGATTACATACGGTACCGTCACTGACTCGCACTCCGAATTTAACGTTTCACTCGTAGGTCGATTCTGGCGACCGTACATTCTTAGAAGGTCAACAGCCATAAAATTGTCTGAGGTTTTTCAACCGTTTCAGGGTTATTGTATGAAACAAAATGAAGATGTTAATTTTTTCCTTCTGAAGTCTTTTTTGGATGAAAAATATTAACGGAAATGAACTGATAATGTCACAATCGGTTTAGTCAGTGGATCGGATTTCAAATGAAAACATGACCTGATTGAGGAAAAATTGATGTCATTTTTGGAGTCAGTGGTGCAAAATGGTCCTAATTCAGTTGAAAAAAAAACTTCTAAAAAATATTTTTTGTAACCTAGTGTAATCTCAGGTCTAAAATGTTGTCCTTTCATATTCTATGTGTTTTTTTGACATCTGTCCTCGTCTTCGTCATTGGCTCTCTTCTGAAGCTAAACATAAAAAGCTAGATACTCTCTGTACAAAAACCTTTTCACTACCACAGTTAAAGCTGTAGAGCATCACAAAATATGCGATTTTCTTATATTTGAGTTGTTGAAACCTGCAGGAACCATGTCTCACCTCCTTAGATAGTTGAATAATCTCTGTTTCCATCCCGCTGCTCAGGCGCTACCTGCCCATTCTGAGAGGATTCCCAGCGAAGTACATCTACGATCCGTGGAACGCTCCGGAGTCTGTGCAGAAGGCTGCCAAATGCATCATCGGCATGCATTACCCCAAGCCCATGGTGAACCACGCCGAGGCCAGCTGCATCAATATCGAGCGCATGAAGCAGATCTACCAGCAGCTCTCCTGTTACAGAGGCCTCGGTACACTGACCCGTTACTTTCTTTCTCTCTTGTTCATATGTGAGGTATCCTTCCACGTCGATTGACTCTTTATTGTTTACATCCTCAGGCCTTTTGGCTACAGTTCCATCCAACACTAATGGAAACAATGAGACGTCCTCAGATGCTATGGCGTTCTCCGTCGAAGCTTCACCACAGCCTGCTGCTCCAGCAGGTAAGAAAAAAAAAACAGCTGCTCCTCCTTTTTTTACATTTCTCATTAAAATTCAATATAAATGCGATTTGTCTTTGTTTGACTTTTCAGCCTATCAGATGCCAGTTCATTCAGAGACAGACTGGCGCAGCAGTATGATGGTTTACCTGCAGGGGGATCCACAGAACAGCACCAGCACACACAAGCAGGGTAAGGTTTAGCACATTTATCACTTATGAATTATTCATATTTTCATGTTAATCTGATTGTTTTAATCGACTCTGATGATTGTTTCATCTTCCTGAAGTTCCCAGTTACGCTCCAGCTACCAGCATGATGCGCTACACTCAAAGCAGCCCGCAGAATCCAGGTCCTGCACTGCAAAAAGGTGCAAAATAAATCTGTTTAAATGGGCGATGTGGAGAAGTTTCTGTGAAAACTTTCTAAATGTGACTTTTTCTTTTTGTTTGTCTCCAGGATTTGAGCATCATCCCGTCACACAGACCAGCGGAAAACGTCCCAATGAGGACTCTGGCCACGGCAGAGGCTCTAAAGTCCAGAGGCAGAGCAACCACTGAAGAGTTAGTGGCACGTTTATTTCACACACTCATCCTCACTGGCTTTACTGGGATGAAATTTGATGTTTTATGAAAAAATCAGCTTCCGATTCCTTATTAGGAACACCAAACATCACATTTTCTAGATTAATTTTGATCAATTATGATGATTTCTCGCTAACCCTGTCAAAATATAAAATAAACACTGAAGGTACAAATTTTCATTGGTTCACACAAACACGACAGAAAACAATCTGATTTGTTTTTCCTTTCTTTCAGACGTTTCTGCACATCGTCCTTCATATTATCAGCCAAATCAGACCAGACACTAAAGGACTAAATGTTTACCTCCAGCACCATGGTGTTGCATGAACGCACCATAAATGCACACACACACAGACACACACACACACACACACACACGTCCCCTGATTGAACAGACTGTGGACTCTGATGAGAACTGCACATCAGCGCCCGCCGGTGAGGCCGCGGCGGCTCTCACTGAGCGCTTAATATTGACAAACATCCTTGTGTATATAATGAATTTGCAAACTGCAGCTCACACAACTTGTACATATTTGGATATTGTATGTATGTTTTCTCTCCTTGTGTAGCCATAAACCCATTGATATATTTTTGATATGAGATCATGGATAGATCTTTTTTTGTTTTGATAGTTCTCAATAAATATTAATAATAAAAAACATTTAAAGACTTTCTGACAAAAACAAAAAACACTGAGAGCTTCTGTGTTTGCTAACCATCGTTTTCCCCAAACTTTGTTCTTTCTTGACCCACCTATCGTAAACTGACAAACAAAGACGAAGTGTTCTGGTTGATCTCAGTAATTGTAGACGTGTCTCATTCCTTTCCAGTGTGGAGGCAAAATAACATTAACCATCTTGATGTTGCCCTTTTTTTTAGTAGTTTTGGAGAGTAAAAAAAGGACTCAAGAGTCTTTGCATCACAGTGACTTCCCTGTAAAATCCTTAATAAAGAAGTGTCCCACAAACAAGACTGTAGCGTCTTCATTTGAATCATTGTGAGTTTTATCTTGAACACATGAGGAGTTTATATAGTTTACCATTTGATCATTATGTTGCTTCTGCAGCCGGTTGGATTTCAGCAACAAGGTAGTTCATAAAGCTCTATAAGACGGAAATAAAAGAATATTGCAGTGGCAAATTAAAGGAAAAACAATAAAGAGTTGCAATCAAGACTAAAACTAATGATGTTCCAGTTATTAATTGAAGCCAATCATAACCAAATGGGTTAGGATTTAAACAGTTTATTCCAGATTAGAGGAGTATTACAACTAAAGGCTGCTTCTCTTCCCACAAAAGATATATCTTTAAATAAATAAAGTAAGGTCACATCAAAGTGAGTAGATTCAAACATAAAACAGTCATTAAGGCAACAAAAAGAGGCTCTTATGTTGGGTATTGAATAATTTACAGATTGGTGCTGCAGATAATTGAATATTTCATCAAAATCTTTCAAATACAGATACAAGACCCTAACTTGGCAAAATGTTCCAAGGGGCTTTAGAAAAGTAAATAAATAAATCAGAAATTAGCCACTGAAAAATTCAAGATGGCTGCCGTGGTCATCAAGGAAATCTGCCAATATTAATCAGAGTTGAATACTTTTGGTTTCAAGTGATACATAATTAGAGCCATAGAAATCATATTTGCTGATAACTTTTTCATTTTTCAAGATGGCCCCCATTGAAAATTAATATGTAAAATGAAAGTGTTTGTATATCTTGAAGCATAGAAATCATTTTTTTTGTGTGTCCATTTTCAAAATGTCTGTTGTCCCAAAATTCAAGAGGAATATCAGAACCATAAACTGCGTGTTGAGCCTGTATTTTGAAGCCTGTATCCACATTTGAAAGATTTTTAAAGTGATGTGGTTTATCAGGTCAACATCTACCAGTTTATTAGCATTAGTCTCGTTCTTCACTCCTCAGCAGTCCTGAGTGGAGCCACAGGGTTAAAGAGCGGCCTCTGCTGCCGGAGGTTCAGCTTAGCGTAGCTCATCTCAAAGTCCTTCTTGGTTCCTACGATTACGTCCAAGCTGCCGGAGCGAACGTCGTACCCATAGGATGCCAGCTTATGGATCCGATACAGCACTATCTGCGTGGTGAGCTCCAAGACGTTTGGGGATTCCTTCACCTGCTCGACGCTCGCCCCGGCATCCATCAGTCCCTGAAAGCGTCCCGCCAAGGTGGCCAGTGAGTAGTACAAAATGGCCGGGCAGCGGATCACGACCTGCTTCAGTTCGTCCTCGGAGCAGCTGAGAGCATCCTGGACGTAGGCCAGCGCCTGCCGCATGGCTTCAGGCTGCAGCTCGGAGATGGAGGCTCTGAGGCTGGACACCAGGCTGAGCAGCTCCTCCGTGGTGAAGCCCCTCTCCCTCAGGAAGCCCAAACTGTCCCTCCAGCTCTCGGCTGGACGCAGCAGGATGTACGGGTTCTGGCTGAGGAGCTTCTGCAGCCAAACCCGGAGATTACCCTCATCCCCGCCCAGGTCCAAGTAGGTCTCTCTGAGGGTGTGGATCACCTCCTGGTTGCTCTCCACAGGTCGACTGAAGCTCTGCAGCGCGCTGGCCATCAGCTTGCTGATGATCTTCTTGTTGAGGCGAAGGCTCTGGAGGTAGAGGATGTTGGCCTGCTGGTTGCTGTGGTGGCTTACAGTGAAAAAGGAAGCTGGGAACTTCTCGATGATGCTCAGAAGGGCGCGTTGGCCGGAACATACGGACCCCCAGAGGTCCCGCTGGGCCTCCACGTCCTCTGGTCGGCACAGGACGGCCTCAGGGTGGGTCTCCAGGATGTGGGCGATCACCGCCGTGTCGGCGCCCATGTCTCTCAGCAGACCGGCTGTCTCAGCCACATAGGCGGTCTTCTCAGACAAGACCCAACCCTTCAGCTTGCGGACCTTTCTGATGTCCACTGACAGCTCGTACAGAGAGTCAACCGTGCGTTGATTCTCCTGCCGTTTGCTGTGGGAGGTGAGGGAGGCGGAGGGAGGCAGGCGCAGCCTCATCTTCTGGCAGGAGGCGCACAGAGACGTAGTGGTGACACGAAGCATCGCAGCGGATCTCTAAAGAAGAAAAAGAAGAAGAGCGTTCATTCCTCCAATCTGTGAAGAGTTGTGACAGCTAGCATTCAGCTAGTCCCTGAATTACTGCAACTATTTGCACAAGTCTCATAATCACTGACCATTTAGGCCTAATGCAAAAACCACTATCTCCATGGAGAGACATGGTGGTGGGAGCATCATGCTGTGGGGGTATTTTCAGCATTTTTGGTATATTGCTCTTGTATTTATTCCCTATTTCTACCAGATAACAGCAATAATTGATGGGAAGATAATTCTCTTAAATCGGTACTACTCTAACTTTTTGCCCTCTGGGCCAAAACTAGCAAATTAAAACAACTCACAGGCCTCAAATTTTGTTGAATTCAAAATGCAAAAATTTGTACGTTGTAAGTTTTTTTTTACCTGCTAAAAAAAATAGAAAAACAAAAAAATATAAAACATTTTCTGGGTCTATTTTGTTTGAATTTCAGTTGTTTTTAATTTTGTTGGGGATCAAAATCATTTGGACAAACATTTTGGACATTGTTGACTCAGGGAGCTGAACACAAAAGCAATCCACACTTTTCAGATTTTCATTCGTTTAAGAAAATATGGAGAAAACTTTACATAATTTTCTTTCCACTTTATAATAGTGGAATATTCTGGGTATCATAAAAACATCCGAATGTGGGAACAAATTAAGGATTGTGTATAATTTAGACGGGGAAAAAAAAACACTTATTATTGTTTTATCTAAAAGGATTTAGATAAAATGATCTCCACTGATTACAGTTCTCCCTGCAGTCTTCCACATGTGATGCTGCATGTGCCTGTTATGTATGTATTCTGGCTGCACCAGGCCACAGCTGCAGAGCCGCAACACGGAAGGAAATGATTGCAACGACAGCAGCCAAAAACATTCATCTAAACATACAGTTTATTTGATATCAAATGAACAATAATGCGGATTATTTTACCGGTTTTAAGGGGCTTTGTTTGCTGTGACTCCGTCGTCATTCCCACTGCTCTGCTTTCATAACGCAACCTGGTGGGCGGAGCTTGTGAGGCACGTAAAGGTACGTAACACCGGATTTGACTTTTTCCAGTCCAAACAGAGTAAAACTCATGTTAATAACACTATATGTCTATCACTAATATAGTCTTTAGAATAATTTAGTCATTAATTTATTAAAACTCTTCATAGAGCTGTCTTTTGATTTGTCTCTAAATAATATAAGTTTATTCATAAATTACTTATTTAAAAATGCACAATGAAAAAAATAAAAGTTTATAAAAATAAATAAAAGTTTTGTAAAATAAATGTTTGCCTCATCTTTTATTAATTTATGCAACAACTTTTATTAGACGGAGGAGAAACGAACCTAAACAAATAAATACATAATACACAGTAAATTTATGGATTTATGCAATATAAAACCAAAGACAAGTATAAAACTTAAATAAAAGAGAACGATCAAACAGATATTAACAGAAAAGGTTTTGAATGCACCACTCTGAAGTGAATCTTTATTAAAATACCTTGAAGTTGTTTGCAAGATTCCATGATCAAGAAGAAGAAGAAACGGTTTCACTGTCTAGCTAAATTATTTAAATTAATATTCTTTAAATTACTGATGCACATTTGGTTCGCACCTCAAATTTAGAGCTTAGTACAGCGTACGGAAATGTTTTTATACAAATGCTTTAACTTTGAAAAGCTGTAACCGGATGTGGATTCACGTTCAAGCGTCGTGACGACGTAAACTTCCGTTACAGATCAGACAGTAGCAGCAGTCCGCGCCTCCAGAGCTTCGCTCTCAACAAACAAGCAAAGCTAGCGGTCTGAACGGACTCAACATGTTGTCTTACATCATCGGGGTGAGTTTTCTTCTCTTTTGCAACATTATTTAGCTCGTTTAAATATCGGCTAGCTTCTCAGAGCTAACATTAGCCAACACGCAGTTTTTCCACATGAAGTCCAGTCGTCCTCCCTGCAGGAATTTGCGTGACTCATTTGTCTTGTTGCGGGGGGATTAAACCAAGATGACTTTTAGTCGCGACAACGCCCCGCAGGGCTCCTGCCCAGCATGTAGCTAATGCTAGCCGGTGGTCTGCTGTCTGACCTTCCTCTCGCAGCTGATCCGAGGAGGCTTTGACAGCATCATCAACCTCATCTTCAGGCTGCTGTTCTCCAAGAGGAGACCTGCCATCACCTTGGAGGACCCCAACATCAAATATGCACTCAGGTTAATCGACAAGCAGGTAGGAAAGAGGCTGTTTAGCAACGTCTGGTAATGTATGCAAGCTGCTGGTGCGTTCACGTGACAGCTGAAGTGTTTGATCTGATTGTTTTGTTTGCTGTAGATTGTGAGTCATGACACGAGGAAGTTCCGCTTTGCTCTGCCTTCTCCTGAACACGTCCTCGGCCTGCCCATTGGTCAGCATGAGCTGCTAAAACACACACACACACACACAATTTTTATTTCGACCACAAAGGCAAGATTTTGTGCACACCTAGATTTATTTTGACTGAGTCCCTCTACCCATAGATCTGAATATCTGCTAATATAGATAAACAGATCATCTCATAGCATTGCAATACATTGTCATTACAACACTGCTGTGTGCAGTGTTGTAATGACACTGCACACATTACCAATGCAAGCAGTAATCACATAAAGAAATGTGATTGTATCACTAAAATGTGATTGTATGACCAAACTGGAAAAAAAGTAAAACTATCAATCCTGACAATAAGAAATATTAAGAAATAACATTGGAATTTTATTTCTTAATATATTCCAATAAATGCCAAATTTACTCACACTAGACTAGAGTATTGATATTGCAAAGGGCTGTTGCACTGGATTAGATCCCAGTGCAACAGTCTGCTGGATGGAGTCTCTCACTAGAGTAAAGTGCTAAAGGTCACAGAGTTTTGGAATCTCCTTCGTTGATCTTTGTAACCTTTGAACTTCTGAGGCCGTCACAGAAAAGCTGCACTGATGCTGAGAAACAAAATGACACAATGACAGAAAAAGGCAACTTTTAGAGCAAATGAATTGACCTGGATTAGATTGAAGTGGAACTTAATAAATACACATTTTACAGATTCTCATTTTCCTTTTGTTACATAAAATTTATTGGAGTGCAACATTTTTTTGGTGTCTTTTCTCAGAATTATAAAACCGACATCCATCTCTGCTTTCGTCTTCAGGGCAGCACATCTATCTGTCCGCAAAAGTAAACGGGCAGCTCGTCGTCCGCCCGTACACGCCCGTCTCCAGCGACGATGACAAAGGCTTCGTGGACCTGGTGGTGAAGGTGAGGTCCAGAAGCAAATCGCTTCTCTGCCCATCTATTGCATTCCATGAACTTAAATGTCTTCTATCTGCTTTTCTCTAATAGATTTACTTCAAAGATGTTCATCCTAAATTCCCAGAAGGTGGGAAGATGAGTCAGTATTTGGAGAGCCTGAAGCTCGGCGACACAATCGACTTCAGAGGACCCAGCGGTCTTCTCATCTACAAAGGCAAAGGTGAGATCTGCTGGATTTGATCAATTTTCACCTTCGAACAAAAAATAAAAACAAGTTTGGAATCTTTATTCTTTTTTGTATATAAAATAAAACTGGGCAGAATGTTTTAAAGTTGTTGTACAAATCTTGAAAATTAAACTGAAGAGTTTTGAATCATTAAGCTCATAAGAAAAAAAGAGCTGAATTAGCGTCACTGCTACCAGCTGCTCGTCTTTGGTGTCTGACCTGCTGGTGTCTGTTTCTGCAGGTGTTTTTGCCATTCAGGAGGATAAAAAGTCTCCAGCTGTGAACAAGACGGCCAAGCATGTGGGCATGATCGCTGGAGGAACAGGTGAGTTAGACAAACACCATTTGAGCTTCTGTTTGCTTTCTGCCAACTCAAACCAGTCAGATAATTCTGGTTCACTAGATGATGTATCTCTATAACCACCGGAGATTATGTGAAAATCCCAGCAAATGGAAATATTATTTTTCTATGTGATCATTTACTTGTGGAGCTGATTTGATGCTGCAGCGTTGTGAGATACTCATACAGAAATTTTGTCATGAGAAACTTTCATTTGTGATTCTCACGAGTTCAGATTAATCTGATCAGCTGACTCTTTCAAACACAATCGACTCCAATTATTTAGTCACCGATTCTTATTTTAACTGCAAAACTGTGTAGTTACTCATAACACCAGAAGCTTTCTTGTTCTTTCCGCAGGAATCACCCCCATGCTGCAGCTCATCACCGCCATCATGAAGGATCCTCAGGACCAAACGGTGTGTCATCTGCTGTTTGCCAACCAGGTGAGGTCCACAGTTTATCAATAATGTTCTGCACATGTGAAGGGACCGTTGTACAATAACCCAACTCCTGCGTCCTCAGAGTGAGAAGGACATCCTGCTGAGAGACGAACTGGATGAGATTCAAGCCAACCATCCAGACAGATTCAAGCTGTGGTACACGGTGGACAGAGCACCTGAAAGTAAGTCCTGGAAGAGTGTTTGACCTGAAATCTGTCAGGTTTAAAAGCACTTCAAATGTCAACTAACCATTAAAAACAGTGTTCAGAAGACTTAACCTTGTTAAAGTGGGATGCAAACGCTATATTTAGCTATGAAACTAGTAATTTAAGTCTGTAAACGCATCATGATGTGATGCACTTTCAGTTGAATATATGTGCAAAGGACTATATACAGAGCCTTGAGGAACTCCAAAATCTAGTTCCATTTTCAGATTAAACAGACTTAATGCAGGATATGCAGTGTTGCACATTAATCTGCTCTGACCATTTTGCATAAATTAACTAGTGGAAATCAATCTTGAAATGTTTAGTTTGTTGAGCTTTTTTAATTAATATTTTGTAAACTTACCAGATTTTGACCAGTTTAAAAAAAATGCAAGACTCAAGGTTTGCATCCTAGTATTTTTACCCACTATGCATCTAAGAAAAGTTAATTTTACAGCATGAACAGTGACATGCAGTTTGTGTGGGGAAAGTGGCGCCATCTAGTGAACATAAATGAGGTTAAAGATGAAAAAATAAGTCTTACAGCTGAACTGTTAGTTATTTGTAGTTTTATTTTTAAAATATTCAACTTGAAACTGTTGCAGTTCCATGTTTTCACCAGCAGGTGTCATTAAAAACAAACTTTTCTGTGCTCAGACTGGGAGTACGGCCAGGGCTTCATCAATGAAGACATGGTGAGGGGGCATCTGCCCCCCCCTGGTGATGACACGCTCATCCTGATGTGTGGACCTCCACCCATGATCCAGTTTGCCTGCAACCCCAACTTGGACAAAGTGGGCCACTCCCCAAACCGCAGGTTCACCTTCTAGACGTCGGTCCGTTTAGAAGAAAAGGTTTGGATGTTTAAGGGCGTTGTTATTGTCTCTTCCCTAACGGCACTAAAGCAGAGGGATTTGCACAGTTTAAACAATGTTTATACAGCTATATTTTTGATGCAAAGGAATCGCAGCTAGGACCAAATCACAGGGGAAGCGTTGGATAGACCCGGAAGTTGGGAATCATGGTGAGATGGGATTTTTAGTTTGGCGTTGAGACATGTGAACAAATGGCTGTTCATCCAGTGCCTTAAAACCTGCAGAACTCTATATATTTTTTTTTGTTTAAGGTCATCACTGCTTCATTGTTCTTGAACGCCACCAAGCTGAACATGTTAGATTTTGCTAAATGTTACCCAAAGTGTAAATCTGGTTGCTTGTATTTAACATGGAGCATAAAAATCTGTTGCTACTGAAGAAACGTCTGGTGTTGTTTTTTAGACAGCAACTTCTACTAGAACAGAAAAAAGTCTTTAAACATTTATTTCTTCACTTTTATTACCAAAACAATTAAAACTCAAAGATTTGGCTTCTAAAAACAGTTCTTTGGTTACAAGTTTCTCACTTAGTGACTTCCTGCTTCACAGTTTTTGGCTTAAAGGGATAGTGCAGGATTTTTAAAATGAACAGAAGCTCACTTTTAAAAAGTCAGTACTATCCCTTTAACTTCAATGTAGCTTACAGTGGCACAAATGTTACATTTTTCTTTGGGGTAGCGATGAGGAGTCACAATTCACTCCTGAAACTACAAGGATTTTTTCCTGGTTCTCAAAACTTGACGCTATATTGTAGGTAAGACGATGACGACTCAGAACTACTCCACAGGAAGCTGCTGAACCTACATTATTGTAACAAATCAGCCTCCTCTGCTGTAAACAAAATAACTATTTTGAGTTCATGCATACTGTGAGAAACCTCAATAAATACAGGATGGAGACTAAATACTTTGGTCAGATGTAAAACCTGCTTCTCAGGAGTTCAGAGCTTCTGTTTTATCCTCCGAGGGACTAATTGAGATCACCTGGAACAGCTCATCCTCCTTCAGCATGCTCTGAAACACAAACAGGAAGTAACATTTCACATTTCCAGTCAATATGGAAACAGTATCGTAGCATATCAGCGAGGGAGGCCTCAAACCGTCAGGTTGTTGATTCCCTCTGAAAAGGCTCCAATCTCTCTGACTGTTCCTTCAGAATCCTCCATCTGCGTGGAAAAGGAGACATGGCTCAGATTTTACTTAGTAAACAATCTTGAACGACTTGCAGTGGAAACTCCTCTACCTGCTCCAAGTGCTCCAGAGTTTCTTCGTAAATGCGGACGTTTCTGTGGAAGCTGCTGCTCTTCGGCATCTCCACGTTCATAGGACAGATGTAATCCTCTCCGTCGTCATGACGTTTCCTCCTCAGGGAGCCAAAACCACCAAACGATGAACGTCTCGGCTGAAACAAACAAGTTCTGCAAGTGCAATTTTTCCAAAAAGACATTAAACCACAGAAGCAGATTTGCAGAGTGATTAATTACCTTAACCTTAGTGGTTGCTGTGAGGACGCTGTAATCCGGGTTTTCCAGACGTTCCTGTTTGAGGCGCTGCGCCTCTGAGCCGACCAGCAGGTGGAAGTGTGTGGCCAGGTGGCGTCTCAGCAGCGTTTTACTGGGAGGAATGTTGAGCAGGAGGGCGAGCGCTTCCACGTTGAACCGAGGCTCCAACACCTTCGAAACACAAAGCGGTTTGTCGATTCGATTCCGGAGGTTCCTGACTAAAAACACTCATCAGGTTTTCACCATCAGTCCTCCATGAACGCCGCTCCCTCTAAGGTTGGGCGCGTATTCTGCCAGATCCACGGAGCGCAGCCACTCCATCACTCTGTGGTTGGTCCACCGAGAGATCTCAGCCGGCGTGATGTTGCTCTGCACAAACAAAATGAAATATTAGCATCAGCTGTGAATCAGAGCAGAAATGTCAGGTTTCGAAATACCTCGTCAGAAGGGCGGCGGCGCAGACAGTTGGACTCATAGGAGTTCAGACGCAGCACCTGGATGGCTCTCTTGATGCTGAGGTGATGAAGAACACTCCCGACCTTCAGAGACAGCAGGTCTTCCTACGAAGGACGAAGAAACAGCAGCAAAGTCTCAACATCTTCAGTCTTTTGTTTACTTCTTTACAATGAAATTCTACAATTTAAAGCAGAGAATGGAGTTTGGGTACTAGAGAAACGTTTTTTTTATTATCCAAACTTGTTGTCAAAAGCTCCAGCTCACCACGGTCATGTAGTGCAACATGCGTCCATCGACTCGGGCTTCATCGAAGTTGCTCTTGTACTGTGGGAGGCCGATGTCATCCAGCCATCCTGAAAAAGAAAACAGTGCAGAAACTGAACCCGCTGCTGGAGACAACAGGCCTGCTCTGAAACGCCGTCACTCACTGGTGACCCAGTTGTGGTCCAGTTTGCCCTGAAGGTCATCGCCCTCTGAGCCAAGAGCCTGCAGGGCAAGCTGCAGCTTCTTCCTGTGGAGAGGCAGCTTCATTCCCAACTCCTAACAGGGAAAACAGGAAGAGTTTCAGAGTAAAATACATCAATCTTACAACAGTATGATGCTAAACCTCATTCAACAAGTGAAGTTGTGATTTGTGAACAGGAAACTACTCCCACCTTCTCCAGATCATGCTGTGATGCCTGCAGTAACGTTTGTCCCGATTTGACCCAGTTCTGACCCTGAGCTGAGTACAAGCCGAGGCCCTGCTCCTGGAGCCAGGAGCAAACATCCTCTTTCCTCCACCGAGAGAAAGGAACGTCAACGGCCCTGAACACACACAACAGGAAAACCCAGCCATTACCAGCCATTCTAGAATAAATAATTCATGTCACTTGGGTCTTTTTATTTACCACCCAATTACTTTATTTTGATCTATTAGACCACTATTAGGAACCATGTTAACTTCTGCAGTCGCTGTCACTTCTTCTTCATGGCGCTCGCTACATTTGGCCTTACTGCGCCCTCTGCTGATCATGTGGCACACTTTCAGATTGTTTGCAGTTCACATACTAGTTGCATATATTTGGACACAATCTGATTTCAGAAAAAAGTTGGAATTGAGCATTAAAGCCTGCAGTGTTACTGTAGCATTAGTTTGGTATAATCTGACTAAACGATCTCAATAAAAGTAGGTTGTTTTTTTTTTCCACAAATTGTAAACAGAATTTAATAAGTTTAATCAGGTTTGAAAGTTATTTTCATGAGTTACTGTATTTATGGTATTTAACAGCTGAGTGTTAAATAAAACAAAGAACAGAAAATATACCAACAGAAAGCAGATGTGTATCAAATGAAATATTGATAATTATTGCAAATCTCAACTTGTGTTTTGTGTCGCGTGACCAGCCGAGCCGAGGCCCGGCCGTGGCTCGGACTCCGCCCCTCCTGAACTCCGTCTCAGCTCCGTCGTCCAGGTTCAACGAGGTGGAGTGGCTTCTCTTCAACCTGCAAGAGACGCATGTTTAAATGACAAACGCTGAGTCCAACCAAAGATCATACTATACGCCTTGTTTTACCTGCCAAAGAATTTCCTGAAACCGCTCGACTTCTTCTTGGTTTCTGGAGACGACGGAAGAGGAGCCGCATCGCGGGGTTTCTGTGGAGGAACACCGGCGAGGTCGAGGTGATCCGTGCCTTTACGTTCAGTCTCAGCTGTCGAAGACCAAGCAAGGTACACAAGATCATTTTGATTCACTTAACCTCACAAAATAACATTTAAATACATGCATTTTGTTCTGACTTTAGCAAAATGCTGCTGTCAAAGTCTCTATCGACACTGCAGAATCTATTTCAGGCATCGTTCTTAATTAATAATGACACTATGTGCATTCAGTGGTACTCCAGGTACAGTATCAGTTAAGAAACCATAAAAGTGGTAAAAAAAAATAAGGTTCTGCTCACCCAGGTTGGGCGAGCTGGCCGTCTGTTTGCCGCCACGCAGCTTAAAAAAGCCTCGGCCAAATGAAGCACGAACTTTCTTGCTGCCAAAATTTCCATCATTTGTGTTCCCCTTAGAAGAGGAAGCAGTTCCTGATTTGTTCTTAACATAAAAGAAAACAAAACAACCACTAGATGGCAGCAGAGGGACTTGCAGGACAGCTGCAGAATCAAAGCTCAAAATATTTATCTTTAAATAAATGATAGATATTTAGCTCTATGTGCTGTTCAGGTGGTTCTACCTGCTCAGTGTTGCCAGTTACAGCTGGACCATCACCATGTGAATCATCTGAGGGGCTGAAAAAAAAATGCAATTCAGTGAGAAACAACATAAACATGTTGTTCAAACATCAACTGAAATACCAGCGAATTGGAACCGAAATAAAATTAAAAATCATGGATAAAGATCTACTTTCCACAAGGACAGCTAAAGTTGATGTTTCATTTGCTGATTTTTTTTAAACAGAAAATGACAGAAATCACCAGAGTGAGGATGCAAACGTTTCATTAGGACAAACGATCAACAGCAGGTTCTGCTAATGGGCCCATAAAACAATCAGTTCCAGTAAAATCACATGGTTTTTAGTGCCGGTACAAACTTAACCTAAAAGTTTTCACTCCTCCTGCAATTTTACACTTTTACTTGTTTAACAATTAAAACCTTTAATGTATTGGGATTTTATGTGGAACACTAACCCAAAATAAAACAAATTTTTAGTTAAAGAATGTTTTTAAAAAGATGGTTTTTGTATTAATTTAAAAACAAAATGGTTGTTTATCAAATGACTCATCTAAATTCTTAAGTTAGTATATAAGGAAAACAGAAACTACTATAAACATTTCTAATATTTATTATTATATTGTCTCATAACCATTTCTAAGCATTAAAAGACCATCAACTTGTCAACATTTTCAGACTTTCAAGTGTCGTCGCCCCCTGCTGTCCGTTCGATGAAATGTAAAGCAAGGTTCTGTTTGTACATTATGACTAACCGTGAAACTTCAACATGTCCCAAAGCAAAGTGACTCAAAGATGTTCCAAAGGAAATGGACAAGAAAACAGGACAAATGACAAACTTACTTACAGCAAATTTACGTCTTAAATTAGTTTTACCTTTGCCCTGCTTGCAGCTGTCGTTCTCTGTCCAGTTCATTCATTTCAGAGAGCACTGCTATGCACGGTATTGACTGAAAAAACAGGAGAAAAAATGATTAATTCATAACAGAAGCCCTGAACTCTCCAGGGAGACCATTTCAGAGTGGGAGGCTGAGGTTGGAGCTTTTCTAAAGGAAGTTTCCAGTCTGGGGTTCATCCTGTGTCAGCTGTTTGGACAGAGTTGTGTTTACCTCATCGCAGCTCCTTCCTGCATCCCCCTCCAACTCCAGGGTGACCGGATCCACCTCCATGGACAGAGAAAGCGAGGGATCATCTGTTATATCAGCGTAGTC